GCCCTCCAGATTCTCCCCTGACAGCCTGGGCTTGCAGGCGAGCTCGGCGCTGGCCTGGTTGATCGTGGAGGTGCTGGCCGTCCTTCTCAGCCTCTACCTCGTCACCGTCAACACCGACCTCACCACCATCGACCTCATCGCCTTCGCCGGCTACAAATATGTGGGGTGAGAGATGTTTTTTTAGTGTGGGGAGGTGTTTTTTATATTTTGTGGGGGGATACAGCTTGATAACCCCCCCTCTGGTGACGGCAGGATGATCATTGGCCTCGTCTTCGGGCTCCTCTTCGGCCGAACAGGTTACTACGTGGTGCTGAGCTGGTGCTGCCTCAGCATCTTCATCTTCATGGTAAAAAAAAAAAAGGGGGTGCAGGGAAAAAAGGGGGGCTTTTTAAGGGGGGGGGGCTTCACCCCCTTTTTTTTTCCTGCTCCCACCCCCCCCAACAGATCAGGACGCTGCGGCTGAAGCTGCTGTCGGAGGCAGCGGCCGAGGGGGTGTTGGTGCGAGGGGCCAAAAACCAGCTGCGGATGTACCTGACCATGGCCATCGCTGCCGCCCAGCCCCTCTTCATGTACTGGCTCACCTACCACCTCCTCAGGTGAGGGGGGCCCCCCCCGAACCCCGTTTTACCCCCCCAAACCCCATTTTCCTCCCCCACCCCTGCTTTCCCTGCCCCAAACCCACTTTATGCCCAGCCCCGACCCCCGCTTTGCCCTCGTCTGCTTCAATAAATGCTGCCTCGGGAACGTGGTGTGGTATCTGTACCCTGGGTTTTTTTGGGAGGGGGTGCAGGCCACTTGGGGGGCCTTGGATAGTGGGGCCCCCCCCTCCATGTCACAGGTGTTGCTTTTAGGGGTGTGGGAACAAGCAGGGGGGGGGGTGTCCCCAGCTAAAGCCACCAGGTTTTGGGGTCCCCTTTCAGCCCCCCCTCCAGAATTTTGGGGTGCAGGGGCGGCCACCCCTGTGGTTTTGTCTCGTCATCCCCCCCCCAGTGACACCAGGGTGTGACACACATGGACTTTGCTCTGGTGACGCCTTCAAGCTCTTTATTAGCAGGGAGGGGAAACTGGTGACAGCCCATGGCGAGGGGGGGGCACAGGTGACATCTCATGGTGGGGGGGGGCCCTTGTCAGCCCCTTGTCACCCCCCTGTCCCCCACCTCAGTGACTTTTCTTCTCCTTCTTCTTTTCCTTGGGTTTCTTGTGCAGTTTGTCCTTTTTCTTATGCTCGTGGCCAGGGCCATGGTGCTGGGGGGGCAGCAGGGGGTAGTTAATGGGGGGGGGGGGGACACACAGGGCTGTGTGTGGCCCCCCCAAAATGGGGTGCAAGGGGATTTTGGGGTGCAGGGGACATGGAAGGGGGGGCTCTGTCCTTACCTTCCCCTCACTGTCAGAGCTGGAGCTGGAACTGGAAGAGTCAGAAGAGTGGCCGTCCTGGG